GACCCACTCCAGACTTCAGCAGGCAGCCTGGGTCCAGAGACACAGCGTTGGGATTCTCTGCCACTGTCTCACTATATGCCTTTGGGCAAGTCTCTGCCTTTCTCAGGGCCCCACTTCCCTTGACATCAAGAAATTTGCTGTCAAGTTCAAAACTGATAAAATTGATTCTCTGAACAACTCTCAGCTGCAATCTCAGGGGCCAGTCTGAAGAGCTTGGGGGCCTGGGCCTGAGGACGTTCAACCTGCCGACCCCCTCATCTCCTTGGTTAGTCCCTGTGTACTTCAGTGACCTCCATTTTCCAACCATCCCTATCCCATCCTCTCGTTTCATGGAAGACATTACCTGGTGGGACACAGGGGTGAAGCAGGGAGATCCAGGCAGGGTTCGGGGGCACAAAAGAGGTCACACGAGGAGACTGGGATGAATCTTTCAGCCCCACAAGGGCTTCAGCTGCCTCTTGCTGCAGCTGCCACTCTGAGGGGGCAGATATCCGAGCCAGGAGAGAGGCTCCAGAGGCCTGCAAGGGAAAGGAAGAGAAGCACACTGGGAACCCCCACTTCTGCCCACCCTCTAAGTGCTCCTCAGCCCCTGGTTCCTTCACAGTCTCCTGCTTTTCCCTTCCCCAGGCTCAACCTCCTCCCAGCATCCTAGATCCCACTTCTTTCCCAGGACCTGTGGCTGTAGCAGAAGAGGGTCTGGGGTGCCACAGGGCTGGAGTATCAGAGTTGAGTGTCTAGAAACAAGGAGAGAAGATGCCAGGGTGGTTAAACACATGAACAGACATGTACACATTGAAAGAGGGACAGGATTTTGCCATATTTTGATCTGGGAATCTGAGAGCCTGCTGGGCCATTAAGCTGTGTGGCTAAGTCCCCATCCCCTGTCTGGACTTATTTTATTTTCAGTAAAGTAAAAATCCCTGCCAACTCTTTCCTCCCAGGGCTACTGTGAGGATTATGGGAAATCATCCGTGCTTTTTTTTTTTTTGACACAGGGTCTTGCTCTGTCACCCAGGCTGGAGTGCAGTGGCGGTGTGATCATAGCTCACCATAAGCTCGAACTCCTCAGCCTATGCCATCTTCCCACCTCAGCCTCCTGAGTAGCCAGGAAAACAGGTGTGCCCCACCATTCTGGGCTAAGTTTTTAATTTTTCTGTAGAGACAGGGTCTCACTCTGTTGCTCAGGTGGCCTCAAACTCTTGGCCTCAAGTGATCCTCCCACCTCAGCTTCCCAAAGGGTTGGGATTACAGGTGTGAGCCACCAGGCCCTGCCTGATGTCAGTTTTTAAAAAACACCTAGCTGGGATTACTGTCCCTGCCCTACCAGAGTCTGGGTCCCATTTCCCAGTTCCCCAATTCCTATAGAACTTGAAGGAGAGCTTGGCTCAGCTTTGGGGACCTTTCCCTAATGGCCTCTGGCCCCTTTCCAGGGTCTCTGAGGCTCTCACCATCACTGCCCCCCATATTAGATTACCCCATCAAATCTGTTTAAGCAGATAAAATCGCTACTATTAAAGAGTCTGTGCTATGTCTAGTCCATACATTATTGCTAATTCTTTTTTTTTTTTTTTCTGAGACGAAGTTTCGCTCTTGTTACCCAGGCTGGAGTGCAATGGCACGATCTTGGCTCACCGCAAGCTCCGCCTCCTGGGTTCAGGCAATTCTCCTGCCTCAGCCTCCCGAGTAGCTGGGATTACAGGCACGCACTACCATGCCCAGCTAATTTTTTTTATTTAGTAGAGACGGGGTTTCACCATGTTGACCAGGATGGTCTCGATCTGTTGACCTCGTGATCCACCCGCCTCAGCCTCCCAAAGTGCTGGGATTACAGGAGTGAGCCACCGCACCCGGCCCATTATTGCTAATTCTTACAACCAGAGAGGTAAGTAATAGTGTCTCCAATTTACCGATAGAAAAACAGGCTCAGAGAGGTAAAGCTAATTGCCCAAAACATCACAGCTAGGAAATGGCAGTACTAGGAGAGCTCTGCCTTGCCTATTAGTCTGAGACCTTTTCTTCTTCATTATCCACTGTGGTGTCCAGCACAGGCTTAGGCTCATGATACACATCCTTCTCTCCCTACTCACGTGAGGGGCTGGCTAGGGGGCCCTTGGGGTTCTCCAGAAAGAGGAGCTGTCAGTACTGGGTGAGATCCTGGGCAGGTGGTGAAGGGCCCATGAGTGGGCAGCTGAAGGGAGGTGCCAGGGTCAAAGCCTAATGAGAATAAGAGAATGCAGAGTGTATAGGGGTCAAGGTCACAGTTTCTTTCCTCCCTCTCCCCACCTGTGCCCTCTTCCTCCTCCTTTCCCAATATGTGGCAGATTGACACTAAAATATCTGTGGAATTATCATCATACCAGGAAAGAGAGGCAGAGAGACAGTCGGATCTTGGTACAGCAAGCGGCATACCACTGGTGATGGCATGGAGAGGCCTGGAGGCAGCCAGTGTCCGGGGACCCAGGGGCCAGGAGGCACTGGAGTCCAGGAAAAGGGCAAGGCTTCCAAGGGACGGCTGAGTAGCAGAGGCCCACAGGAGTTCTCCTGCAGGGGCAGAGGGCACAGGACTGGAGTTGGGTACTAGGCTGCAGAAGGAGTGGGCTTCTTCTGGGATGTGGGCAGAACCCCAAAACTTTGGAGCTGGGAGGGCCTTAAAGTCCCATCCCCTCATATTGCCTAGAGAAGAGCAGTGATTTGACCAGATTATATAGCAAACCAGGGCTGGGACTAGAACCCAGGTGTTGAGGGCACAGAAGAAAGGGTCTGGGTAGGAACTAGGATGGGGGGCACTTTCTCAGGCCCCAGCCTCTCCTTACCTTCCCAGGGGATGTCAGTGCCAGCGGGACTGCCCCACAGGGTGTCTGAGGCTGGGGTGCTATGTTCTCTTTTCCAGCTGTGAAGGACCGGGGAGAGCTCTAGTGAGCCCTTTCTCCTGACCCCTATCCTACCCCACCCTGGACAGTTCTCATCTCCCCCTCCAGCTCATTTTTGACCAACAGAATTTGCTGCATTCTCCCAACACTGAGACAGCCGAGGCCAAGGGAGTAGAAACTCTTAGTTCAAGGTCGCACACCAATTCAGCGGCAGGGCTGGGCCTCTTTTTCCCACATCTGCTTGCTATACTAAAACCCCTGCCCCATCACTGGTCAAAGACACTCACAGGGGACCTTTCTGATGCGGCTGGGAGTTTTGGAAGAGGCTTCCCCTCTCCTCATCAGGCGCTTCTTCAGCTGGGCCTCCTGCTGCCTACGCAAGGCCACTTGGGCAGCCATGACCCTGCGACGCTCCCTAAAAGTGGGGAGTTGTGAGTGACTCTTTGGACAAGGCCCAATCTCCTCCCCTTCCAGACCTCATACTCACAGGATGAGAACACATTTGTGACACTCGCAAGCCTGGAAGAGGCAGAGACGCTTGTGGCCCTTGAGGTGGGCAGTGACACCGTGGTTGCGGCAGCGGGCACAGGTTGGAGAGCGACTGATGGCTCTCCTGGGGATCAGCTCTGTGCCCTGGGGGTCTCTGGTCTCATCCTGGAGGGCAGAATCTGAGGGGCAGTGGTGAGCAGCAGGCATGTCACTGGGTTCCATGGATCTAGGGGCAGGAGCGGAGGGTCAGCATGACCAGGTGGGCCGGCCCCTAACAACCGTCCTGCCCTGGGAACCACATCTGGTGATCCATCTTGCCCCTCTTTAGACCTCTCTTCCCCAATCCTGCCTTCTTCCCTAGCTTCCTCCCCTCTTTACCCCATGACTTTTCTCAGGTATCTTCCTTCCTAAGAAACCCCTCTCCTCTTCCTCTTCAGTGTTCTTTCTTTCTTTCTTTTTTGGAGATGGAGTCTTGCTCTGTCTCCCAGGCTGGAGTGCAGTGGCATGATCTTGGCCCTTCACAAGCACCCTGCTCCATCCCAACAGTGTTTCCTGGCACCCTGTTCAACAATGCTCACCCTACCCTCATGCATTTATCCAGTGCCTACTGATACTTTTATGCCCCTTTCAATTCTTAGTTGAATTTCAATTCTTAGTCTCATCTATGCCCTGCAAGGCAACTGCTTCCTTTCCATTCCTTCAGTATTGTTTTGTTCTTGTACCCCTTGAAAAAAGAACCCTCTCTTGCACCCCCAATAATTACATTATTCTCATGGATTCCCTACTCCACTTTCTTTTTATTGACAGGGTCTCGCTGTCACCCAGGCTGGAGTGCAGTGGCATGATTACAACTCATTGCAGCCTCCACCTCCTGAGCTCAAGCAATCTTCCCACCGCAGCCTCCCAGGTAACTGGGACCACAGGCTGGAGCCACTGTGCTCAGCTTCCCTGTTCCACTTTCTTTTTCTTTTGTCCCTTCCTCCCTCCCTCCCTCCCTCCTTCCTTTCTTCCTTCCTGCACTTTCTTTCTCTTTCTCTCTCTTGCTTTCCTTTTTTGACATGGAGTCTTGCTCTTCAGCCCAGGCGGGAGTGCAGTGGCATGATCCTGGCTCACTGCAACCTCCGCCTCCTGGGTTCAAGTGATTCTCCTGCCTCAGCCTTTGGAGTAGCTGGGATTACAGGCACCTGCCACCAAGCCCAGCTAATTTTTGTATTTTTAGTAGAGACAGGGTTTTACTATGTTGGCCAGGTTGGTCTCAAACTCCTGACCTCAAGGGACCTGCCCGCCTCGGCCTCGCAAAGTGCTGGAATCACAAGTGTGAGCCACCGTGCCCGCCACCTGCCCCACTTTTAAGTTATTTTCCTTCACTCCTTCATTCCACAAATGGTTACTGAGCCCCTGCCATGTGGTAAGCCCTGATCTGGGCCAAAAGCCCTCTCCTCGGGGCACTAATGTCTCTCTTGCGCCCACATGTTGTTCAGGATTTTGTGTAAACACAAAATCTGGGCAGTCTCTGTGCCCAGTGCTTCCTGCTCCTGTGCCCATCCCCACAATTAATTTCATGCATTCTCCCCTCCCTCCTTCCTGTGCCCCAGGGGAGCAAGCGGGGCACGGGGAACACGCCAAGGGGCCCGCGAGGCAGGGAAGGGGATAGGGGGCGCGAGGGGCGTGAGGGGGAGGTGAGGGGATGCTCTGGGGTAGGGAGTCTAGGGAAGAAGGAGGACGGAAAGGGAGGAGGGGCCGTGTTCACGCAGCCAGTTCACCGTTACCACCGCCTCAACTGGAGTCAAATTCAGTCAAGAAGATGCCTAAGGACACCGCGGAAAAGTGGCCAGAGGAACGGCCAAGCTCGCGCTGCTTTTCCCGCGCTGTCTCACGAGGACCAATGAGCTTCAAGCATCGTCTTTCTCTGCCGAGGCGGGCGACCAATGCGGTTTGAGATCCCGCACTAATGTCCTGCCCCTTTCTTTCTGCTAGCGTCTAGGCGCGCGAGACTATCAGTCCAGCCAACAGCGCTTCGAGATGAGTCTCGTGCCACCCCTGCCCCTCCCTCCGTGTGTCCTGCCTGCCCACTGCCTTTCCCCTTTAGAGGCAAGTGGCCAATGGGGCGTCGAGTGCTGCCTCCTCGACCGAGGCTGGGCCCGCCCCCCAGGAACGGTCCGCCTGGCCCCGCCCCCGGGGCGTTAACCAAGCACGGTCTGCGCACGTGCCGCCTCGCGTGTGGCCTGCCTTTGCCTTCTACCTAGACTTCGCTTTTGCTGCAGGGACGCCCGCGTTTTCTATTGCGTCTCTCCCGGTGCCACAGCTCCCGAGCTACCCTTCTTTTATGCGTTCTCCCTAAGCCCTGTGATTTCCCTGTTTGCTTACAGGGCCCTTCCTCCTCAGATTGCGCCCGTTTCCCTGTGTCTCTTCCTGTCGTCCTGTGGGTTGTGATTTTCCCAATCTCTGATTTTCCACTTTCTCTCGGACCCTCTCTCTCTTCGGACCCACTTTCTCCCCGTGCTTCATTCCCTGATAGCTTGGCCCCTTCCCCCCTTCTTCGCTAACCGGGACACCTCCAGTTTTTCTGAATTTCCGGCTGGCTCCGCCCTCTTTAATCTCCCCCAAGATTTCACCCGTCTGGGGGCGGCTCTGTGTAATTGTGGCCTTCTCTGGGTATCTCCGTGAGCTTCACCTCGCGCCATCCCCCCATCTTCTCTGCCGTGGCCCTTTACCTCTGTGCGTCTCGCTCTGTGTCCTTTTCTCTTCCCCCCTCTGAGATTGACTCCTCTTCTCCCTGAGAGCCCCGCCTTTGTGCTCCACTCCTCGTTTTCCTATGCCTCCCTCTCTCTGCTGGTCGTCCGTTTCCCTGCAAGGTTCCGTTCCATCCATTTGTTTGTCTTTCGTAGGGGTGGCATCTCTCCGACTGCTCTATCCTTTTTTTTCCCCCTTGAGGATTGAGGATTTCATTTCAGTCTTTTCTGGTTGTGTCTCCACTTGCATTCAGCTTGTTGGGTCCTGTTGTTCTGCATCTCAAGCTGACGTGTGCCATCTTCTCTGATTGGCCTAATTCTCCCCCCCCAGATCCTTTGTCAAACTTCGTTTCTCTTTCCTTTGTCCCAACTTTTCTGCGGGGCTTAGCACCTTTGTTGGCCACAGATTTCTGGGTTACAGAGCATGTGTGTCTGGGCATTGCAGACAGAAGAGGGTGGCCAACGTGACCTCTAGCTGGACTGCTAGGCAGGGGAGCTGTCCTAGATAAAATTGGAAAGGTCGGGTGGCGTTGATCTGGGGTGAGGTCAGGTCGGGGGAGGCTTGAAGGCTAAAGAGGTTGGATTTGATCCTTTAGGCAGTGGAGAGAGAGTGAGGAAGTGTGTGTTGGAGGGAGGGATGGTGGTAGAGGAACAGGGTAACCAACATTTATAAAGAGCTTAGCCTTTGCCTAACACGGTAATAATTTTATTGATCTTCACAATGACCTTATGAGATGTATTATATTCCATTCTATAAATGAGGTAGTGGGCTCAGAGTTCAACAAATTGGACAGCTGGTAAGCGAAGGCGTAAAGATTCCAACCAGGGTCTCCAGCCAGGCCTATGATCTTTATAGCTTCTCCCACACTGTTATAGTTATTTCCACCAATTCCCTGTTTTTACCCTAACCTTCTCATAGGCAGTTCTCATTCTAAGGTGGTTAATATGTATCTTTTGGTGGTTTGTGTGTGTGTGTTCTCCCAGGATATGTGTAGTGTTTTTTAAGTTTTTTTTTTTTTTTTTGCGATGGGTTTTTACCATGTTGACCAGGCTGGTCTGGTCTGGAACTCCTGGCCTCAAATGATCTGCCTGCCTCAGCCTTCCAAAGTGCTGGGATTACAGGCGTGAGCCACCATGCCTGACCTGTTTGATATTTTAATTTATGCAAGTGATATTATGCTATTTACTATTTAAAATAATTGGCACTGTGCTTTTATGATCTATCCATGTACACATCCTGTCATTGTGTGTATATGGTTTTTTTTTTTTTTTTTTTTTGGAGATGGAGTTTCACTCTTACTGCCCAGGTTGGTGTGTAATGGTGCAATCTCGGCTCACTGCAACCTCTGCCACCTGGGTTCAAATGATTCTTCTTCTGTCTCAGACTCCTGAGTAGCTGGGATTACAGGCGCCCACCACCACACTTGGCTAATTTTTGTATTTTTAGTAGAGACGAGGTTTCGCCATTTTGACCAGGCTGGCCTTGAACTCCTGATCTCAGGTGTTCTGCCCTCCTCGGCTTCTCGAAGTGCTAGGATTACAGACGTGAGCCACTGCACCCTGCCTCTCATCCTGTGTACATCTAATCAGCTGCCTCCTCCTCCTGTGTGATACTCCATAGTAAACATCCCCAGCATGTTTTGCCTTCACTTGGTCTCAGAGAGGGAAGCTCCCATTGTCTCAGCTTAACCATCACCACAGTAATGCTGCATTTGCTGGACACAGCAGCTCATGCCTGTAATCCCAGCACTTTGGAAGGCCGAGGCAGGCGGATCACTTGTGCTCAGGAGTTCGAGACCAGCCTGGGCAGTATTTCAAGATCCATCTTTACAAAAACTTAGCTGGTTATGGTGGTTCATGCCTGTGGTTCCAGTCACTCGGGAGGCTGAGGCAAGGGGATCACTTGAGCCCTGGAGTTTGAGGTTGCCATGAGCTGTGATTATGTCACCAGCAAAAACGAAAACAAAACAAATGAACAAAACAACCCATCTGATGTCTGTTGCATCCTGTTTTTCATTCTGTATTTTATTGCATGTTCTCTTTTTTAGAGACAAAGTCTTACTCTGTTACTCAGGTTGGAGTGCAGTGGCGTGATCATGGCTTATTGTAACCTTGAACTCCTAGGCTCAAGTGATCCTCTGATATTAGACTCCTGAGTAGCTGGGGTTACAGATACCCACACACTTGGCTAATTTTTAAACATTTTTTTTTTTTTTTTGGTACAGACAGGGTGTTGCCCAGGCTGGTCTCAAACTGCTGACCTTGAGCGATCCTCTTGGCTCAGCCTCCCAAAGCACTGGGATTACAGGCATGAGCCACTGTGCCAGCCTGCCTCTACTGCCTTTATTCCCTTGATCAGATTTGCCAGAGAACTAACTCAATCTTTTCAAAGAATGGATCTTTTTTTTGTAGTAATGTTTGTTGTTGTTTACTATTGCATTGATTTCTGCTCTCATCCTTATTTCCATTCTTTTTTTGGGGTAGGGGAGGTTTGCTTTGTTGCTCCTTATACAACTAACTTCTTGTACTAATTCTTGAACATATCTATTTTTTAATGCTTCCTATTTCCTGACGCATGTATTTAAAAGTCTAAATTTACTTCTACATACTGCTTTAGCTGTATCTCAAATTTTGATTTGATTTAAAGAACGTTTTAATTTTGAAATGATTATTTGCTCACAGGAAGTTGCAAAAGTGGTACATAGAGTCCTTTGACTCCTTCCTCCAGCTTCCCCATGGGGGCATCTTATATCACCATAGTATATGAGCAGGAAGTTAACATTTGTACAATACTCTTTGTACAGTCATGGCTCACTGCAACCTCTATCTCTGGGACTCAAGCAGTCCTCCCACCTTAGCCTCCCAAGTAGTTGGGACCACAGGTGCATGCCACCATGCCTGGGCAATTTTCGTACTTTTTGTCGTGATGCCTGGATTGGTGTATAATACTATTACGTAGACTTCAGAACTTACTCAGTTTTTAGTAGATTTTACATGCACTTATGTGTGTATGTCTGTGTCTGTGTGTGAATGTATGTGTTATGTAGCATGTTTATTATTATTCAGTTCTAAATGCTTTTCTTTTTCCTTGAGATGGAATCTCTCTCTGCTGCCTAGGCTGGAGTGCAGTGGTGCGATACCAGTTCACTGCAACCTCCACTTCCTGGGTTCAAGTGATTCGTGCCTCAGCCTCCCAAGTAGCTGGGACTACAGGCTCGTGCCACCATCCTGGCTACTTTATATTTTTAGTAGAGATGGGTTTTACCATGTTGGCCAGGCTGGCCTCAAACTCCTGACCTCAGGTGATCCACCTGCCTTAGTCTCCCAAAGTGATGGGATTACAGGCATGAGCCACCACTCCCAATCTTTAAATACTTTTAAATTTCCTTTTCGAACCGAGGGTTATTTAGTGATATGTTAGCTTACACACACACACACATACACACACACACACACACACACACACACAAATGAGTTTTAAGCATCCATTTGCTGCTCTGATCTCATTGCCTCTGGCTGGAGAACAGCCTGCATATCAGTGATCCTCTGGATAAGCCAGGATTCTCTGCTCAGTACCTTATCTAATGGGAAGACCTAAGTGAGAGAGTGAGAGTCCTGCTTTGAGAAGCTAACATGGTGGGTGGTGGAGGTTAAACTGGAGGGCAGATAGTGGAGATGGGAAGACCTGTGACCCAGAAGGTCTGAGGGAGCCTATGTCCCAGAAACTGACACAATCAACTTTCTGTTCCAGAAACAGTGACCCAGAGGCAGGTGGACAAAGAATTCGGGAGCTGACGGGAACTGGGCTTGGGATCCAGACTGAAACTGGTTCCCGACTAACCTCTAGCACTCAGGACCCAGACCCAGGACCATGGGACCCCAGCATTTGAGACTCGTGCAGCTGTTCTGGCTCTTAGGGGCCATCTCTACTCTGCCTCGTATGTCCTGTGGGGCTGGATGCTATAAGACCCAGAAAGGTGGGAGGCTGGATTCATGTCATTAGTAGAAGGAGGGCTGGGTATGTAGGTTTCGTGGGGGACAGGATCTGTGGTGTCTGAACTCTTGGTTGGCAGTTCAAAGGCTCAAAAGGTGATGTGAGGGACCGATGACTGGGAGAGCATTCTCTTTTTAGGGGCTGGAGCTCTTTTGTGCTATGAAGCAACATCGTCAAGGTTCAGAGCTGTTGCTTTCTATAACTGGAAGTGGCTTCTGATGAGGAACATGGTGTGTAAGCTGAAAGAGGGCTGCGAGGAGACGCTAGTGTTCATCGAGACAGGTGAAGCAGGCTGGGTTTGATCCACTTTCTTTTGCTTGCTCTTCTGACCCCCAGCACCACTCCCAGCACCCAGGGACTCTAGATTGGAAATCCAGATAGTTACCATATACACATACATGTAATAAAAATTTTTTTTTAGATGGAGGGGTCTCACTATGTTGCCCAGGTTGGTCTTGAACTCCTGAGCTCAAGTGAACCACCCGCCTTGGCCTCCCAAAGTGCTAGGAATACAGGCGTGAGACACTGTACCTGGCCATCATTACATGTTTTGGATGTCAGGACACTAGCAGGAGAGTGGTGTAGGCTGGATAAGTGGGTAGAATGGAGGTGGGCAGATCCTTGGAGGCAGGGCACAAGGGAGAGAGGAGCTGTGTGGGGGGTCCTACAGGGGAAGAATGAGGAGATTCAGATGGAGACCCCAGAATCTGAGTCCTATGCAGCTGCATTGAATGGACACAGGGATTGGGGAGGGAGGCAAAGATGGTGACAGGCAGGGTAGGTGCTGAAAGAGCTGGGGGAAGGGGGACTCTGGGTGAGGCCAGTGACACTGATCAGAGCTCTTTCACCCTCTGCTCCTTAGGGACCTCAAGGGGAGTTGTGGGTTTTAAAGGCTGCAGCCCATCTCCATCTTACCCTGCACAAGTCTCCTACCTTGTCTCCCCACCCGGAGTGTCCATTGCCTCCTACAGTCGTGTCTGCCGGTCTTATCTCTGCAACAACCTCACCAATTTGGAGCCTTTTGTGAAACTCAAGGCCAGCGCTCCTAAGTCTGTCACATCTGCATCCCATAGTTGTCCCACCTGTGTGGGCGAGCACTTGAAGGATTGCCTCCCTAATTTTGTCACCACCAGTTCTTGCCCCTTGGCTGCCTCTACGTGTTATAGTTCCACCTTAAAACTTCAGGCAGGTGAGAGGAGAGGAATTTTGTTTATCAAATGCCTGCTCTGTGCCAGGCACTGTCCAGCGTCTTCACATCTCAGAGAGGCTGGTGGGATCCGGAGATGGGATTGGGGTTGCAAGGGACTGGACACATGAATTCCAAAGAGGCGGGGAAGGTGCCTGGTGGCTGAGTCTCTGATGGGAGAGCAGGTGTTCTGGTTTGCGAGGGACATCTGGGAAGAGGGGAGGGCTTTTTTTTTTTTTTTTTTTTTTGAGACAGAGTCTTGCTCTGTTGCCCAGGCTGGAGTGCAGTGATGCGATATCAGCTCACTACAACCTCTCCTCCCGGGTTCAAGTGATTCTCATACCTCAGCCTCCCAAGTAGCCGGGATTATAGGCATGTATCACCATGGCTGTCTAATTTTTGTATTTTTAATGGAGATGGGGTTTTGCCATGTTGGCCAGGCTGGTCTCGAACTCCTGGCTTAAAGCCCTAAAGTGATCCACCTGCCTCAGCCTCCCAAAGTGCTGGGATTACACATGTGAGCCACTGCGCCTGGCTGAAGGCAGGGCTCTTGAGTCTTGAGTGTTTCTGACTTCTCCCTCTCTTCCTTACAGGGTTTCTCAATACCACCTTCCTCCTTATGGGCTGTGCTCGTGAATATAACCAGCTCTTAGCAGATTTTCATCATATTGGGAGCATCAAAGTGACTGAGGTCCTCAACATCTTAGAGAAGTCTCAGACTGTTGGTGCAGGGTCCTCCAGGCAAAGTCCTGCTTGGGGTGTCCTCTTAGGCCTCCTGTTTGTCTTCAGGGACTGACCATCTAGCTGCACCAGACAAACACCCAGACCCTCTCACATAACAAATAAAATAGCGGAGTTCTCTTTTGGCTTTGTCCTGTGGTCCATGAGAGTGCAGAGGAAAGGAAGGTGTGAGGAGGGCCAAGCATGTCCAGGGAGGTGGAGACCCAGGGGAAGAGGATCCTGGCAAAGTGACAGTGTCCTGCTCAGCAGCTGGGGGAGCTGAGATACTCCTTTTCTCCTTCCCTTTCCTCTGGAGGCTTCAGCTCTAGCCTGGGTTCAGCTACTGATCAGGGTCTGATTTCTGAGACCCTGGCCAAATCCTTTTTCTGGTCCTCAGTTTCCTCCTCGCTAAAAGGAAGGGTCCTATGAGTTAATTCTTTTTTTTCCTTTTTTTGAGATGGAGGGTCTCACTACGTTACCCATTTTGGTTTCAAACCTTGGCCTCAAGTGATCCTCCTGCCTCAGCCTCCCTAATAGCTGGGATTCCATATGGGAGCTACTGTGTTTGGCCACCAGGGTGATTATTACTCGGGATTGCTTACTGAGTATCTACCATGTATGTCAGATACTGTGCTAGCATCTGTGCTAGTGTTTTACACACGGGGTATCATTTAATCCTCACAAGACCTCAGCGAGGCAACTTTTGTCTCAATTTTGCAAAGAAGAAACTGGCTCTAGGAGGTGAAACCTGCTCAAACTGGCATCTTCCTTACCTCCTCTGCAGATTTCTGTCCCAGTTGAGGGAATTTCATTGAGAGATTTGGAGACCTGAGCTTGTTTGATCTGCTCAGTAGTTTTTTTTTTTTTTTTCTTTTTTTGGTAAGGTGGCAAATAAGACAGAGGAAAGAGCCCATGGTTTTAGTTTTGGTTTTGTGTTTTTGTGACAGGGTCTCGCTCTGTTGTCGTGTTGGAGTGCAGTGGCATGATCACGTCTCACTGTAGCCTTTTGACTTCCCTTGTGCAGCCCAGAAGTTTTATCAGTGATTTCTGTAGAACTTTCAAGATGGATCATCTCAATCTTATACAAACTCTTCCATAGGGAAGAAAAAGAAGGAATAGTTCCCCACCTTATTCTGTTAGGTTAGTATGGACTTGACGTTGAAACCAGAAGAAAAAAAGGGTACAAAAGATGAAATTATCAGGCCAATCACATTCATGAACAGAAGTGCATAAAAACCCTAAACAAGGCATTAGCAAATCAAATCAACAGTATATTAAAAAATGAAACACTAGGACTAGATTTTGTTTGTTCTGGGAAAAGCAAAGGTGATTTACACTAGAAATTTGTAAGTGGAAGGGGGCATGAGGGAGCTTCTAGGGTGCTAGGAAGGTATTGTTTAGTGATCTAGCCACTATTTACATGAGTGTGTTCAATTTTTGAAAAGGCATCAAAACAACACGTTTATAATTTATGCACTTTTCTATATATAAGTAATGTATCAATTTTTAAAGTTTTAAAAGTATATATTACTGCCATATTAAGAGAATAAAGGGAAAACTCATGACTATCTCAATAGATGCAGAATAATCAGGTAATAATATTTCCTGGGCTAGGTGTGATGGCTAATGTCTGTAATTCCAGCATTTGGGAGGCTGAGGCAGGAGAATTGCTTGAGGCCAGAAGTTTGGTAACAGTCTGGGCAACATAGCAAGACCCTGTCTCTACAAAAAAGTTCCAAAAAAAACCCCACCTAATAACATTTGCCATCCATTTAAAAAATAGATTACAGTAGGATAGAAGGGAATTTCTTAGCTCTGCTAAAGCATATCTATACCCCAAGCCCAAAAAAGCAAGCAAGCAAACAACAAAAACCATTGTTGGCTGGGTGTGGTGGCTCACATCTGGAATCCCCACACTTTGGGAGGCCAAGGCAGGAAGATCACGAGGTCAGGAGTTCAAGACCAGCCTGGCCAACATCGTGAAACCCTGTCTCTTAAAAATACAAAAATTAGCCAGGCATGGTGGCATGTGCCTGTAATCCCAGTTACTTGGGAGGCTGAGGCAGGAGAATTGCTTGAACCAGGACCTGGAAGGTGGAGGTTGCAGTGAGCTGAGGTCTTGCCACTGCACTCTAGCCTGGGCTACAGAGTGAGACTCTGTCTCAAAAAAAAAAAAATCATTGTTAATAGGAAAATGGCAGCATTCCACTGAAAATCAAGAATAATCCAAGAGGGCCAGGCTCAATGGTTCACACTTATAATCCCAACACTTTGGGAGGCTGAGGTGAGTGGATCACTTAAGGTCAGAAGTTCAAGACATGCCTGTCCAACATGACAAAACCCCATTTCCACTACACACACACACACACACACACACACGTATACTCACTACTAGTAATAAAAAAGTAAAATATAATAAAAAGTAATATATAAATACTAATATATATTAGTATCATACTAATATATGAGCATATATATACACATAATTTGTCACAACAATTTGTCACGCTAATATATATATACACTAATATGCACATATATAAATGTATATATATGTGTGTGCAACATATATGTGTATATACTCATATAAGTGTGTGTGTATATATATATACACTAATGATAAATTTTGTTGTATCTATATGATCTCTTTCACCCACTGAGTTAAATATCAGAAATCATATAATTTTGTTTGTAAACATGTAAGACTCACCCTTTCAATTAAAAAAAAAAAACTATTGCATGATGCCCTTCCCCACAATCTGCCAAACTCCAAGTGTACAGAAAATTTCCCCCTGACCCATGGTTTCTATTCTGAAAAAAGTGAGATGAAGATGGACAAATAGCCTCCCCACTATCTTGGGTTTCCTGACAGGAAACTGTACCTGTCTCAATCCACAGGTAGCATAGAGAGTGCTTGGAGAGAGAAATGTCCCTGTGGACAGGCAGAGACAGGGGTCAGGAGTCTGCAGCACCATCTCCAGTTCTGGAAACTCTGCTCTGCAAAATGGCTAAAGGAGACACCAAATATGAGGGGCTTTTCAGCAGCACCATGGTATAGCAGGTTCTTTCTGCAGCTCCCCCGAGCATGAACCCCTTATCCAGCCTTCCCACACTACCAGGATGTCCCCTTTGGGACTTCTGTCATTTGGGAGAAGCAACACTGATTGTTTTTTCTTGAGACAGAGTTTCGCTCTTGTTACCCAGACTGGAGTGCAATGGCGCCATCTTGGCTCACCGCAACCTCCGCCTCCTGGGTTCAGGCAATTCTCCTGCCTCAGCCTCCTGAGTAGCTGGGATTACAGGCATGCGCCACTATGCCCAGCTAACTTTTTGTATTTTTAGTAGAGACGGGGAGTTTCACCATGTTGATCAGGATGGTCTCGATCTCTTGACCTCATAATCCACCCGCCTCAACCTCCCAAAGTGCTGGGATTACAGGTGTGAGCCACGGCACCCAGCCGCAACAGACTTCTTAATGGAAATCATACAGGCGGTGGGAGTGGAATGGCATTTTCAAAGTGCTGAAGGAAAAAAATCTCTGCTCTTCGAGAATACTGTATCCAGCAAAGCCATCCTATAAATATGAAGGAGAGAGAAAGTTTCTTCCAGACAAACAACACTGAGAAAATTCACCACCAGCAGACTCATCTTACAAGAAATGCTGAAGAGGTTCTTCAGCTGGAAAGAAAAAAACACTAACAGGTAAAAAGAAAACAAAGGTTTAGAAATCACTGATAAAATTAAGTACATAAATGTGTACTCTAAACTATAACTGTGGTGTAAAGTCCACTAATAACTCCAGCATGAAGCCCAAAAGACAAAAATATCAAGAACGGTAATAGCTACAGCAACCTGTGAGGAGTTAGGCAATATAAAAATATGTGAATTGAGACAACATAAAATCAAAATGCAGCAGGTGGGGGAAGGAGTTAAAGTGCAGGGTTTTTTCCAAGTTTCTTTGTTTCTGTTCTTTATGATCTAAGATAAATTGTCATCTCCTTAAGCCAACTTGGTATAATCTCCATAAGATGTTTTTTGCAAAGCTCAAGGTAATCATACTGCCAATACCTATAATATATTCACTTAAAAATAAAGGACTTAAAACATGCTAAGAGAGAAAATCATTTAATTACAAAGGAAGACAATAGGAAAGAAAGAAAAAGGAGTTACAGAACAACCAGAAAAGCAACGAAACTGCAGTAGTGATCAATACTCATGTGAATGTTAATAGATACAATTCTCCATTTAAAATTCACAGAGTGGCTAAAGGGATAAAGAAACAAGACATGGCCGGGCGCGGTGGCTCAAGCCTGTAATCCCAGCACTTTGGGAGGCTGAGGCGGGTGGATCACAAGGTCAAGAGATCAAGACCATCCTGGTCAACATGGTGAAACCCCGTCTCTACTAAAAATACAAAAAATTAGCTGGGCACGGTGGCGCGTGCCTGTAATCCCAGCTACTCAGGAGGCTGAGGCAGGAGAATTGCCTGAACCCAGGAAGCGGAGGTTGTGGTGAGCCGAGATCGTGCCATTGCACTCCAGCCTGGGTAACAAGAGCGAAACTCCGTCTCAAAAAAAAAAAAAAAGAAACAAGACCCAACCACATACTGTCTGCAACACACCCACTTCACCTATAAAGACACACATAGACTAAAAGTGAAGGGATGGAAAAAAATTCCATGCAAGTGGAAATGAAAAAAAAGCAGGAGTAGCTATATTTATTTTTATTTTTTAAACATTTATTTATTTATCTAAATTCTGGGGTACATGTGCAGATCTTGCAGGATTGTTACATAGGTGTACACATGCCATGGTGGTTTGCTGCCTCCACCCACCCCCCACCCATCACCTACATTAGGTATTTCTCCTAATGTTAACCCTCCCCAATCTCCCCACCCCCTGCTATCCCTCCCCTAGCCCCCACCCCCTAATATTTATTTATTTATTTTTGAGCTGGAGTCTCGCTCTGTCACCCAGGCTGGTGTGCAATGGCACAATCCTGGCCCACTGCAACCTCCGCCTCCCGGGTTCAAGTGATTCTCCTGCCTCAGCCTCCTGAGTAGCTGGGACTACAGGCGCATGCCACCACACCCAGCTAATTTTTTGATTTTTAATGGGGATGGGGTTTCACCATGTTAGCCAGGA